GACATATATATATATATATATATACAATACAATGCGGGTTTTAACGAAGAGTTTCTATTGCACGAGAACCAAAATTTCGTATCTTCTTCTTTCGATCACGCGCGTATGTTTACCGCGCGACGCTTTCATCGAATACATCAAATATTACAATAGGCTATGACGTTTAATATTTATTATATTCTACAAAGGCTTAAACGAGCAACGGAATCGAAAGCGATCGTTGAACAAAAAAAAGATTCAACTTCCGTTCACGCCCCGATGAAACTCATTTGCGCCAAAAAAATATCCAGGAAAGAAATCGAGGAAACTAATCCTTTACTAAAAAAGGAAATCACGCATACGGTAATTAACAAATGATTCGGATGATATGTGAAAGATTCGATTATGAATTCTGTATAATTTATCACATAACGTGAAACGACACAACGCGACGCATCACATAACTTTATTTTCTTGCTAGGTCGCACCGATTGAAAAAAAGAAATTCGTGTCCACTCGACGCTATGTCGAGCCACAATCCAGTAATGTCATCAGAACAGATTCTTTACCTTGGCTCAGGCGACAATTCAGCACCAACACTCATTATTTCAAGGATATCAGAGTGCACAGAAATTCCGTTATGTATCGCGGTGCTGCTTTAAATCTGCACAAATACAGGCTTAGAGCGAGCAGTTGTCCTGACATCTATAGAAATAGTATGACCACATTGGCAAAAGAGAATGAACAGGTATTTTTATAGATCTTTTCTATTGGAAAGGAGAAATTTGCAAGAGATGTATGAGAGATGTGTTTCTATCGATTTTCTTTCTTCATTTCCTGGCAATTTCATTTGGCAGAAGTGGTACGCCGAACTGATAGACTTATTAAAAAGTACGTTGGATTTCTCCATGTTTTTTGAATTGCATTTCCTGTTAATGTCATTGTCAACGATATTGTTATTCACATGGTTCATCGTACCGTATTTTTACCTGGCGGAGCATATGACTAGAAACGGTTACGCCGAGTCCGATGCCGCTAATCTTCTCAGCATCATCGGTATAACCAATACCATCGGAATGGTAATATCAAATTTTACTTTAACAATATTTTATTCCTTCATTTTCGTTACTATTGCTTTTTTTTTAGATTGGTCTAGGCTGGGCTGGCGATCAATCTTGGATGAATGTCAGTAAGACGTATGCTTGGTGCCTGATAGCCTGTGGAGCAGCTACTATATTCATATCTGTGTTCACTCAATATTACGTATTTCTATCGATAAGCTCGGCAGCTTTCGGTCTTTTCTTTGCCAGTAATTTTAGTTTCACACCCGTTATATTAGTAGAATTGATTCCTTTAGAAAGATTCACTACCGCTTACGGTCTTAGCTTATTGTGTCAAGGAATCGGTAATCTTTTGGGACCTCCATTAGCTGGATGGTTCTTTGATGTGACCGGTTCTTGGGAACTTTCTTTCCTGATGGCTGGTGGTTGGATCATTGTCTCTGGAATCTTGGTAGGTATTATACCGTATACAAGAAACCGTAAGATTTTCGGTAGTGGACCAATCGAGATGGAACGAACGAATGACGATGATTGTTCGGCATAGAGAACAAAAATATACTTTTATCATGTTCATAAATTGCGCACTCTGGCATCAGATAGAACAAAATTAATGAATGTTTAATTCAAAATAAAATTGTAATTAATCTAATGTGTCAATCGAAAGAATCTCACTGCATTTTATATCGAGCGAGCAGTGCGATTATGACATACACATAAGTACATTATACATATATTTATGTGTGTGTGTGTGTGTGTGTGTGTGTGTGTGCGTGTGTGATATACATCTCTGCATACAGTCCTAAAATTGCTACAGCGGCTTCAGCATATGAAAACAAGTCAAAAATGTCTAATATACACATATATATCCGATTCCGAACGGTTTTGGAGTTACAGGATATTGAAGTAAGAAAACATGAATCGTAGTAAATATTGTTTAATATTTGTTTTTTTATTGTTTTGAATCCTGAATCTTTTTCTGATAGACTAAATCTTTCATTTGTTCCCGAAAATGAAAGGAAATACAAGTTAAGGATGACTTCTTGTCCAAACGTTTCTCCATGACCATTATCCTCATTAGATTGAAAGAGACCAGTGAAAAGTCTCGATCTCATACCACTGGATTTTTTTTCTTCGGAGACGAATGAAAGATCTAGTCTATCAGAATGAGATTCAAAATGCAGAATAATTATGATAATTGATACTTAATTGATACATTGCCAATATCATCCGCGAAACTCTAAATATTTGTCAAGTCCAAAACATTATTAATTTATTAATTCTAATATAATAAATCTAATAAATAAATCTAATAAATAAACTAATTACTAGAAAGTCCAAGTCGACGGAGAAATTTTTTAACATTTTTTATAAATCATTATTCAAAAGGAATAACCAACAACACTTATTACGATTCATATTTTCTTACTTCAATATCCTGTAATTCTGAAACCGTTCGGAATCAGTATATGTTTATTAGATATTTTTCTTGTTTTCATATGCTAAAGTCGCTGTAATAGTTTTGGTACTATATGAGAGACATCTTGTTATATAATATATACATACATATATATTGTACATATATTAGGTATAGTAAAAAGAAATTCATTATTTTTCCATTCAATTTCATGCAAAAATAATGGATTTCTTTTTACTACACCTAATATATGCATTAGGTGTGGGAAAAAGTTCGTGACGTTTTTCCCGTTAGATAGCAAAAAAATGCCACGAACTTTTTCCCACACCTAATATATATATATGTGTAATGAACAATTTTAAATTACCTATTGGCAGCGAGAGTTTATTTGCACGTACTTTTCTCTCGTACTTAACTTACTCGTGTTATTAATAAATTCTACTTACATAATATTATAATTGTTACACGTTCGTTTAAACTGTACTAATTTCGTAACTCCTACATTCGCGCACACAAAGATATATATACATTTATCTACTTAAAATGCGCAATTTGCATACGTAAATTGTGTACACACATGTTATAGATTTAATTTTAATAATTAGATTGTCCAATTTTGTTATGAAACAAAATTAAAAAGGTCTAATTAAAAATATATGTATTTTTGTAACAAAAAAGAAATCTCATAAATAACAAAAAAGATTCGGATATACAAAGAAATATATTTTTATTTGATTAAAATATTTAATTAAATATACAATCAACATTTACATTATTATACAAAATAAAACAGCGATGTTTGTACAATGAATTTCGTAAATAATTAATAAGCGATACAAGTTTAATATTCTGACACTGACGATTCAACTGTGTAACGAGTTATCATTCTCACCCTTGTCGCACAAATATATGTATAATGTGAGTTTTTCGTTCATAGAATCTTGTTATTAATATCATTGATCCAAAGATTAGATATATATTAATTAATAAACATTTTTGTTAGAAAATGTGAGCATCTAAGACACAAATTTGTGTATAATTTCGCGGAAAGAACTCTATCTATAAATCGTTGAACTATTTATTTATTTAGTTTAATTGTTTGTTTAATTATGTTATTGCACGGCAATGTAAATATTTTGTTATGATACATATAAATATATAAATGAACGTTCGATTCCATCTACAACATGTAACTTTACCAACATGTAACTTTAAATTTCAGTGTCAAAGATCTGCCCAAAAACGGGTAAATTATAAATGTAAAGATCTTTGAATGTGGATCGAATTATTACTTAAGAAACGGTCCAGTTATAAATATGATGGTATCACTGTTTCGAACTTAATCGATTACTATTTTATAAAACAAAAAATAAAAAATCTGTATGTATAGGTATATTTTATGTATATCTCTTGCACATAGTATATGAAGTTGAGCAAGCAAGAAAAATATCCAACCTTCTTCTCTTTTGTGATAAATCTGAATTATCGATCTCATCAGCTATCTCATTATGTCTCAGTATCCTGGAGACATAATCGGATTGAGTGGATTAGGACTTCGGATAGATGCTCTCGGAACGCCTAGAACGCCGGCGAGATTTCGTATGCTTTTAGGGAACGCTCTCGCAATGATAAAATGCCGAGGACCGATCAAGGCATCCCCCATTATACCGAGGCGTATGCTGTCCCCATGCCTGTGCAGAGTCATAGACATGTCTAAAAGCATAATACAAGTTTTGATAAACAAACGTGACATAATAAAAGAAAATCGCGCAGATATCGTGCAAAAGCACGAAATACATTAATGACATATATGTATATGTACTGCAATTTCCTTGCGGTGGTCGCCAGTAAACCGCTCCATCTATGCCCTCCACAGGTAAATCTCCATCAACATGCGTTAAACATAGAGAATATGTTTTCGATAGTTGATTTAAAAGTAATTTCAAAACGATGGACGGGACGCAGGAGGAAATTAATCCATAAGATGTTTCCGCTGCCGTGATAGCGTAAATTGCGCTTTGTCGGGATCTGGCGTTCTGCACGTTTCGCTGAATAACCTTGGGGAAACGCGACGCGTTGGAGAGATCTAATAATTATAACTATCTTTTCGCAGTCAAGTCGCGTAAGCATTATGCAATACCTGCAATATTTCAATGAGGTCGTCGTGGAACAATGGTGTTCTGATTGGTAACGTGATACAGAGGATACCTCTAGCTTCGTGATTTCGAAGAAACACTGCTCGCTGACTCACATATTTGACCGTCGCGAATACATCATCCGGAACGTTGACGGCCAAGTGCTTAAAGTATTCTTTCAGGGCATCCACGGTAGCCGTTAAAAGAATCTCCATCTCCGTCGCGCCAGTTATATTAGCCATTTTTCGTATGAGCTCGACGTCCACCTTTTCCGACCAAGCCACTACTTTCCTACCACACGGTGAGATGGTCTGCAATCGATTCGATCGCGGATTCTTCAAAAATACCTCTTCAATTATGATTTTGGGTGCAGTCGCGGCTATCCAACTAATGGATATCATCTCTCGAATTGCTTGAAGCATCAGAGAAAGGTAATACGACAATGTGTACATCAAGGTATCTGCAGGATAACTGCAATATCTATTGCGTCTGTAAAGCGATTGTAAAGCTCGCAATTCTCGAATGAGCAAGAGAGGTGTCTTTAAAAACGATGTAACCATGATGCACCAGGACAGAGCAACGCACGTGTAGAGAATGTCGAGCGGATGAAAAGATTTCGCAATGGAATCATATATCATCCGAGAATTGAAATTCCTCTTGCTCGATTCTCGCCGGACGATCGACAGAAGCTCCAAAAATTTTAATCCTTCCGACTTTCGGAACTGTCTAAAAAAATTACAAAACAATAAAGTTAAATATAATAAAATATAATATTATCGATGTACTTATAATCCTTTTGAATATTCGAATAAAGACTAGCAACAGCAGTCTGTATATTATACTTATTATTAATCTTCTGAAACAAGAGGCAACTCGAGATTATGATATTGTCGCGGGCAATCGAATACCTGGCTAATTCCTTCAGAGTGCAAACAAACACTATCGTCGCGATCTTGACACATTGAAACATTCCTATACGTTTCTTTAGAATCTCCGGCTGCTCTATAGGATCGTTGTTGTAAAGAAAATCATTCCAGTAGTTGCTGAAGCTCTCTCGGAACATTTGTCGGAGACGCGGTAGAGCGGAGAGTTGGACATACAGATTCGTGAAGGGCGAATCGCTCTCTTGACAAGTCCAATTGTCCGTCGAATATTTCAACGGCAAAAAATCCGCCAAAGTTAAATGCTCTTGCCGCAGGAGTAAGTGATGCGCTCGCACGAGACATATCTGACGTTCTTCTCCTTGTACGAACAAGTTGACTACGTGCACTTGCCAAGGCGGTAATTTCTTCGGAAGAAACTTGGATGTGACGTCGCTTATGTAATCCTATGACACAAAGGAATTGCCTATACGTCAAATAGCTGGCTCTGTTCTATGCCAAGCATAAAATAATAATTGAATGAAAAAACGACCTGTATATTGTTCTCAGTAATAGGACGACCTCGATAAGAGTACGGTGAATTTGCGAGATGATTGTCCACAGAAAAATAATCGAGTTCTTTCCATACGTATATGCCCCATCGCGTGAAGAGAGCCGATTTAAGGAATTTTTTCGTCGAAGTCAGATGTGTCAAGTGATTTCTCACGTCCTTTACGATCGAACGTCCTTGTATGAGAAGGGTGCATATGCCCTATATGAATGTATCGTTGTGATGATAGATAAATAGTTATACACAGTATACCCAGCAAACGAGAATGGATTAAAATGGATTCAGATTTTCAGAAATACGGATTCATGTTGTTGAATGTTAAAATGAATCCTTTTCAATTCCGAATACATTTTTATAGGAATTGCATAGAGCACATCTCTATGCTTTTCAATCCAAAAATAATATTAGCATTTTCTGAGCATCGTGAATACTACTCAATTCAATATTCTGAATATGAAATGCAGTTTTTCAATCTAATTGAATAAAAAAAGTTTTTATTTAATAATTGATCATAAATGCTACTTAAATTATTTAAAATTATAAATAGGAAATTTTTCGTTTTAATCCAACTTCCAAGTTTAAAAAAATTGTAACATAAAAATAATTTAGCTATATTCATTTGTTTCTCTTAGAAAATGAATGATCGATATGAACATTCGCAAATTAAGTCGAACAAACCCGAAATATTAAACTATAATATAATATATGACTATTAATACTATAAAACTATAATATACGAATATTAAACTAATCACGGTGCGCAACATCGGCCATGCAAGATTAGATTATCCAACACTTACCCAATGTTGTCTTATAGCAAATTGTTTATACTTTATTACATCTGTTAAATGATGATATTTATTAATGATGATTTTATTATATCTATATAATTTTGTTACCAGTTTAGCTAATTGTAATTGAAGTAGAGAATGAATAATACATTTATCAATTGAAGAAGTGTAACGGGTACCGTAGATTCATAATCCAGAAGTCCCAATTTCGAATCCCACTAAGATGCGTTTTTTAATACCAATTTCAAGTAGTTAATTTTAGGTATAATTATTATAAATATTTTAGGAATAAAATTTGTAACCCTTAAAGATGAATGTTTTTTTTTTTCGAATATTAAACTAGTGTCAGCTTAGATCCAATCCATTTCAATCCATTCAATCCATTTTCATGAATTTAAAGTACGTATTAAAAAAATTTTAATCTATTTTAATCCATTCTCGTTTTCTGAATACGTATTACATATAGCGATCTATTAAAATTGGCTCAATCAAAATTCATCGATATTATATAGTATATACTTACGGGATTGCGTCCTTGATCCAAGATGCTGCGAATATTCTTCTCCTCCACAACGATGTATCTCGGATGTTTCCATTTGACAAAGTATATCCAACATTTTCTTGTCCATGTCATCACTTAAAAATGCCAAATACACACGTATCACAATAATATAGCCCATGTTAGAAGAGAGAGAGAAAGAGAGAGAGAGAGAGAGAGAGAGAGAGAGAGAACGGTATTTACAGCATGTTCCAGCAAATGAGAATGGATTAAAATGAATTGAAATTTTTTTCTATCTGAATGCGTACTTTAAATAGCGAATACTTTTTTTTTAATTTAATTAGAGTCAATTACATTCAATTGGATACAACTGGATTGAAAAACTACCCTATTTCCTATTCAAAATTTTGAATTAAACAGTATTCTCAATGCATAGAAAAATTTAATATTATTTTTAGAAAGGCACAGAGATACGCTGCAATTCTTCTATAAATAAATAAAAATGCATTCAGGATTGAAAAGCATTCATTTTAACATTCGTGAATCAATTTCTGAAAATCTAAATCCATTTCAATTCATTTCAATCTATTCTCGTTTGCTAGGATAGAAGAATAGAATTTTAGTGCCAAATTACTCGCATTAGTAGATATAATATGGATATGGTAATGCACGGATAATTATAATAAGAAGAGCTCGAAAATAACTTCGAAACAAAAATAATTACCTACGTACGCGATAAAAAGAAGCGGAACTAAGAAAATCATCAATATAAAACTGAAGCCGAAATTTATCGGAAAAATAACGATACCGAACATGTTCTAATCTTGTGATACGATTTTCACTTGTTATATTGAACAAGAACGACCGCTCTGGCTGTCTTAATTTCCGATATCTTACTGCTGGTGCTATAACTCGGCGCAATTTAATTCACAGTATCCGTTCTCGTATGCGTCTCCGGGATGTGGCGCGAACGATTATACATCGAGTCTGACCTTTCACGATCTCTGGCAAAAAGAAAGCCAAGCAAGATACTATTCCTTCGTGATACTCACCTCTCACCGTCGAACTCGTCGAAAGGTCTCGTCGGAAGTCTGCGAGAGTTATCAATGCCGAGTGACCACGACAGTGACAGTCACAATTAACAATTAGTTGTTGCGGAAAGAGCAAGGGTTCGAGATATAATAAGTCTTTATAATTGTAAATCTTTTATGACGAAATTGTTCACGGACGAACTCTAATTGCGAAAATCCGTGATTTGCATTTATAAATAAATAGTTGCGCTAATGTAACGTTATAATTTTGCGTCTGCAAATTATTATCGAGAGCAATCCAAGTATATTATATATATTATACTCAGAGAACATGCATGTTTGAAAGACATTCAAAAGAAATGCCTTGAACTAGATGTCTCCACACAGTATGCGTGACAGTTTGGCGACTAATAATCGACTATTTTTAATCAATTTAAAGTCGACTTGTAAGTTATAAAGTTGACATTTAGTTATATAGACTATTTTAAGATGGCTTTTTGTTGATTTTGAATGTCGATTATAAGCCGACTTGAGGTCGATTATTTCCGAAAATCTGAAAGCCATCTTTTATATCCGACTTGTAATCGACTAATTGTTAATTTTCTATTTATTATTAATAATAACATCCAGATGTATTACTTATATTCCAGAGGATATAAAATACTAAAAAATAACTAAAAGATGGCTTTTTTTTCAGGTCATTTTGCAAAACGAAAAGATATTACGTTTATTCCCAGTAAGAAATAACGAATCGAAATGATATAAATAACGAATCGAAATTATCATCGAAAAGAGGTAGAAATCCAACATCGTTTCGAGATTCAGACGAGCTCGGTTTCAATAACATCAGCTTAATTTCGAATAATTTTTGATATCGAAATCAGTTCGATTTTGAATAATTTTTTATATCGATATCAGTTCGATTTAAAATAATTTTTGAAGTCGAAACCAATGATCGTGTTCAACAGATTCAATTGTATTGGGGAACGGATCCGTGAGCGTTCTCTCTCTCTCTCTCTCTCTCTCTCTCTCTCTCTCTCTCTCTCTCTCTCTCTCGTTACTATTCCCAATGTTAGACGGACCGGGTTTCAGACGCATGCACGTCCAATGTAGCTTTAGTAACGTACCGGACACTAGTAAATAGGGGATCATTAGCCGCCTATGTAAAATTTTTTTCAAAAATATTGGAAATTTTATTTATATTTTATATTTTACATATTTTACATATGTATACATATATAGAAATATATATATTGTATACGTATGTAAAATATGTAAAATATACTAAAATTTTCATTCTCAATTCTAAGCGATTGATCTTCTATTTACTAGGTGACCGGTTGACGTTACTGAAGCTACATTGGATGCG